AATCCAACAGAAAGCGGGCATGTTTACTGTCTAGTAGTGACACTGAATGATTATGTTATATATATATATATATATATATATACATGTATAAATAAAAAATTCAATTTATTTGTCTATGAAAATTAACATTTTTTTATTAAATATATTTGGATGGAACCTCTCTCTAATTTTTATATGTACAATATATATATATATATATATTTTATATGTACACTGTATACTTTTCTTTTTACATGGTTTTATTTTGCACGGTAGTCTCTGGAACATACCCCCCATGCAAAAAGAGAATTGAGTGTACTTAAATTCATGTAGTCAAGGAACCAGGAAAAAAACTCATCAGAATAATTGCCATGAAAATATTTTTAGAAAAGATTTGGGGAAGTCACATCACATTCGTGAGAAAGTGATTAAAGTTAAGATTTCTGGTCAGTATCAATTACAATATAGACCTTTTTTAAAATTTTATCAAGAATCGAGAGATGTACAGCAGGAGCACCAGACCAGATATGGCAATAGTATTCAATGCACAGACAAATGGTAGATTTATAAATTTGCAAGATGGATTCTGACAAGAAAAAAAATTTCTGGCAGGACACAGTGAAACAACTTTCCTTGTAGCAAACATAGCAACTGATTCAATATAATTGCTCCAGTTCATGTCAGTGGAAAACGTCTTAAACATTTGCTATTTTTTATGACAATTTTTTTTAATCAATTCATCCCAAGTAAGGAACTAGGATGCAAAGGGGTTACTGAGTGTTAGAGAATATGAGAAAAAAACTACTATTAAGGAGAGAGGACAATAAAAGAACATGAATTAAGACAAAAGATAACAACTGATATTGCACTTAAATTTTTAAAGATCAAAGTTGACTGGGAAGTAAGAAGAAAATTCCATAAGCAAGAAGTGTGATTGGAGAAACTCTTAGCATAGAACATACAGTTACATTTCATATGTATTTCAATTGTAAAATGATGAGACCTTGCCACCAATCTCATACTGCACTTAAATTCATAGAGCCTAGGTACCATAGTGGAAAGTTCATCAGGACAATTATCATGAAAGTATTTATAGAAAAGTCACAGGGAAGCTACATTATAGTGGTGGGAAAGTGACTGAAGCCAAAATGCCAGGTCAGGACTAATAATATAGTAGATTCTTCTTTAAATTTTATCAAGAATCTGTAAATATATAACAGGAACACAAAACTAGATGTGGCAGCAATATTCAACACACGGACAAATGGTAGACTTATTTAAGATAGAATCTGGTGAGAAAAATCACCTAGCATGACATAGTGAACCAAATTTCTTAGCCGTGGAGTTATTAATTGATCCCATATCCTTTTTCCACTTCATGTTTGCTGAAAACATTAATCCAAGAAGGCACACTGAATCACTTTCATTTAATTCTTTTAAAATATTGACTGACAAATGATAATTATGAGTACCTAAGTAAACTATCTTCAATATAAAAAAAATCTTCAATATATTTCCTTTGTGACAAGCATGAAACTATTTGAATAAAAGAATTAATATTTACAATCATTTCAATAAAATATTATTCTCTCAAAATAAAATGATAATTTCCTCAAAAACCAAAGCAAATATAAAGTATATAAATCAAATGGCAAATGAACTTATTAGATTAAAAATCATAACTGCATCAATAAAAATGTGTTATATGTTATTTCCTATATTATGAGGAAAAGAAACAAAATAGGGAGATAACAATAAGTATTCTTAGGTATTTGGAAGTCTGTTTTATACTTGGCTGTTCACTGAAACAATGTTTTTGGGCAACAAAAGCAATCCCAAGTTATTTGAATGCAAAATGGAAGAAAATTCAAGCTTAACAAGATAAAAAATGCATCTAAAATTTGTGTCCCAAAATAATTGCTTGATTTAGTGAATAATTTGCAGGGTGAAAAAAAAAGTGTTAAAAAGAAAAATTAAAAGACCAACCTGTAAGCCTTTGGATCTTCAATATCATCAACTGTGTGTTTTTCCTTTAAAGGAAGAAAGAAGGGCAGATTTTAAAATCAAATTTGGATAAAAAACTGTTCAAAATTAAAGATTTGAAATGTGTTTCATCTGATGGAGATGACGCTGCTTTAATAGACAAATGCAAAGATGGAAATGGGATGTGAATGATTTAAACAGAACAAAACAATTAGTGAAAACAAATGAAATAAAGAATGAATGGGCATTTTTAAAATTGACTATTTATACTAGCTGAAAATATATAAAACTGGAATTTTTTGCAATACGCTAATGTGGGTAGAAATCTAGTAATATTTTGTATTGTTAAAGTTATCCCTAACATTTTTTGTCAAGATTTATTAACTCCGCATTTCATTCAATTTCACAAATAAAATTTCATTCAATTTCACAAACAAAATTTCATTCAATTTCACAAACAAAATTTCATTCAATTTCACAAATAAAATTGCAATATTGTTTTTTGCATAACTTTTCTTTAATTTTCTATATTTCATGGATTGCCATGAAATATAAAAACTTAAAGATATGCAAAAAAACAATATTGCAATTTTATTAAATAAGTCTTTGTTACAATAACTTGTGTCTTTGTGCTAGCACAATCATCAATGGCTCCCGAGTAGATCATATAGATTATATAATGATAATTATGGCACATTTAGTGCATGAAATGTAACAACTATTATGGAACAAAGGTGATCCTTAAGCTAACTTAAGAATCAAACCTAAATCACCTGTAAAGTACTATGCATTAAAACTGACACTTTAGCAAATTAAAATGAGAAAAAAAATTATAGGCGTATGTGAAGAATAAGATTAATAGTATTTCATACTAATGTATTTCTTTAATTACTCTAGCCTTACATAACATTTTTATACCTAGTCACCACTTGTATCTGTATTTTGAATATAAATAGAACATCTTTTATGTGTAGATACTGAAAAATCAATAATAACTTGTATACTAAACATAGAGTACAAAGAGGAAACATTGCAGTCTGATGTGATCTATTGTTATTCTTGGGCAGCAATTAGCCATTGCTTGTAAATAGATGATGTCATCAACATTAAATATTCATAGCACAAACTAAAATAGTTCATGCTTTGTTGTATGGCTGTTCTCAACAGATATTTTCCACTGTGAGGCTCAGAAATACTTTATGAATTATATAAAACAATTTCACACATATATTTCAGAAAACCATTTACTCTGATTTATTTCTTATCAGACCCACTTTTACTTTTGTTGAGTAACAACAATTATCTTGAGTTTATCTTTTATATTTATTAAATGAAGAAATTTTAATTATCATTAATTTTTACTGGTATTTCTGTCATCTTAATTTTGGGCTGCAATAAAAAGCAAACTGACAATTAAGACAAAAGAAACACTAGTTAAAATTAGCAACAAGAATTGACCTATTTTGTTAAAATGCCAAGTGTTCCTGCTATATATATCTTGGGATTCTTAACAAAATCCTAAGAAGAATCTACAATGTTACTGGTCCTGACTTGGCATCTTGGCTTCAATCACTTTCCAACAAACATAACACAGAAATCATGGCAATTATTTTGATGAGCTTTTATCTTTGGTTCTTTGATTGGCAGCTAAGTCTTATCAGTTTACTGATAAGTCTTAGCCTATGTTCTATTCTAACAGTTTCTTCTCTCACACTTCTCACTTGTGGAACTCTCTTCTGGCTTCTTGCTTTCCTATAAACTATAATCTTCAAAAATTTAAACGAATGTCAGTTGCCATTCAAAAATTGTCTTTTTGAATCCTGCTCTTTTATTGTCCTCTCTTGTCACTTACATTTTCTCATTTACTTAGACTTTTGGGCAACAATCAACACTACACAATATAGACAATATAGAAAATCTCACTGAAAGCCACAGTATAAAACAAGATAAAGAAAAACAGATTCTGGTGACCTTTTAAAAGCTGAAACACATTTGTTACTCTAGATACTTGCTACATGAAAAAAATAACAGACAAGATAGTATCATTAATGTCAGCAGACATAATAAATATTTTGAATATATAGTTTTATTTTAGAAGGGAAAAGATTCAAATAAATCATTAGAAATATCAGAGAATTTTAAACTTTAAACCTTTTCTTGAATTGTCTCTTGTCAATAATAGTTCAAAATATAACGAGGGAATGAAGCAATAATTTAAATTAAATATGAATGAGAAGTAGATTCCAGAATATGTACACAAATACATATACCTTGATAGACAATAAACTATTTGCAGAATTTTACAAAAAATTACTTGATACATAAACAATTCTCAGAATTTTACAAAAAATTAAATAACTATTTTTTATTACATATAGGATGCATCTGTTATGAAGATATTCATTATTTCTTCAAAGGCAAAGTGTGTCTATTAAATAATTGGGAAGATATTACTCATATATTAGCCTATTAATGCACACTGGGTCATTTTGGTAGACAGAGGGCATTAATAAGTTACTGGTAGAAATCTATAACTAATACTAATTTTTTACAAACCTACAAGTAATAATATTTTTTATAATACCAAATTTTTATTGTAAATGTTATAATATTGGATATATGATGGGCATTAATAGGTTCATATATGTTGCTTAGTTTAAAAAATTACTATGTCAATAATACATGAACATCTACTGCAATTAACTTTATTCACAGATTTTTCTAAATGAGATCAAAATTAACACAATTTTAGTATAATACAAACTGAATTTAATCTCTGGAATGAATGAATGAATTGATTTGTTTTTTTACAGCTTATCAACATTTTGCAGAAAATGTTTTTAGATTGTAAGAATTTTTGGGAGTTAATAATGATTTACTCATACAAGTCCTACTAATTAACCTATTGGAGGAGAAGTGGTAAATTCATACCTTCCCCAAGGGTGTAAGTGAAAATAACGAGCCCAACTGGAATTGGAACTCTGCTTTCTAATCTCGAATTCTGAGCCATTATCCATTACATTACTCACACATTCAAGCTTACAGCACCTGGCATTCCCAAGTGGTCACCTATCTAGGTAATGACCAGGCTCGATGTTGCTTAACTTTGGTGATTGTACGTGAACTGGTGTTTTAAGGGGATATGACCGTAAACCTTAAACTCTGAAATACAAGTTGAAAAGTTTACATAGGATAATTTAATATATATTTTCATTTTTTAATCCTTATAAATATTTATATATTTAATATATAATCTTGTCGGGGTGGTAGCACCTGTTAGGGTTCCAGCTATTGTCAAATAGCTAACCTCCAAACTGGGCTCAAAACACTGTGAAAGTATAAAAATACATTTTATAGTAAAAATTCCAGCAATAGATTTTAACAGTAAAAAAAAAAAAAAATTCCAAACCTTCCAAGAAAACTAAATTTCAGCTTTACATGACCCAGGAAGCAGGAAGGGCAATAGAAGAAACTGTTAGTAAAGAACTTACAATTGAAAAATTCACACTGTCATGACTATTCCAAGATGACATTTATATATAATACAAAAGAGCATTTCATGGAACTTATATTTGAACTAATTTTGACAATCCAAATATTTTAAAGCTCAGGTAATGCAAATTCATTTATTTTATTTGTAAATGTTCACTTTTTAATACACCATTGTATACTAGATTCCCTGTTGAAACAAACTCCTATTTGTAAACTTAAATTTGACAAAAAGAAAAATGCAAACTGTTCACAAGATGGCAGCTTTAAAATTTCATAATGAAATTATTAATGAAAGAGAAAATTCACCCAAAGTAAGGCAATAATGCCACTAAGACGCAAGGGATTACTGGGAGTGAAAGAGAATGAGAAGACTTTAGAAGGAACTGGAAACCCAATCCTAAAAAGGAAATAAGGGATAAAACTCTACTCCTGTTCAAAAAATTGGGGAAGAGTGTGAACCAGATAATAGGTGAACCTATGTTCTCAAGATATTTCTTCAAGGCTGTCTTTAGCAAAATACCCAATAAAGAAAAAGTTCACAGCTTGTAAAATAAACACACTAAATAAAAACTTATAAAAAGTTCACTGCCATCAAATGGGAAATTATTAATACAAAAATTAATTTTCTTTTCTAATTGTTGCCATCTTCATATCTGAAGAAATAAAGACAGGTCTTCTCCATTACACACATAATAAAGAATTAAGTTATACCCTGATGTCTGTAGTTAATGTCTCCAGGCATATTTTCCAAATAAAGATCTTGTGTTACTTTTCATCTCATGAGAGTAAATTGGCAAATATACTTAATGAATGAATTCCATGGAAAAAGTTACTTGATATTTTTTTTATTCCTTCTTTTAGTTCATGTTTTGTAATCCTTGTCATTGGGGAGGGAATGTAAAAAATCAGGTATCATGAACTTTAACATCCAAAACTAATTTCAGAAGTTAAAAATAAAAACAATGTCCAAGACAAAATATATTTTAACCGATCTGTATTATCATAATATTTAGAAAAGAAGACAAACATTCATCAACTGGTGCTACAGAATCCCAAACCAAGAATTTTAACAAATTACAAAAATCATATCACTTGAAGAATTCCATCAGCCACAACAACTAAAATGGATAGCACATATAACTAGAAGGAAAAATAATGTTACAATCAAGATGCTTGACTTTCCACACTACCTTAAACAAAGGTTTAGGAAGGAAACTCCCATCAATATTAGAAAGACCGATAACAGTTAGTGGACTTGAGAAATTTAATTTCCTGAAAAACTGTTTTAAGACAAACATTTTAGAAATATGCTAACCATTTGATCAATAAATGCTGAATATTTCCAGTGTGGAAACGGCTAACCTCATGATTACCATTTAAAAAATTCATAACTGAATCAAGTCCCAGAAGCATGTAAAAATATGCTTGTTTAGAGATTTGAGAAACTTTTCAACCATAAGTAGCTTTTGTGTATTGTTGCCATCAAGACTAAATACTGAAAGTTGTTATTAACCCACTCACAGCAAAGAGCCTCTATAATGGTATGACTGGATAATATGAGTTCATATACCATGAACTCATATTATCTAGTCATATGACATTTGTCATATATACAATTTGACATATTTCTGGGCTTTGGACAATGGCATGTTTTAGGTGATTTGTATAGGACTTGGCAAAATAGGAATCTTTGGACACTATTTATATTTTTATTCTGAAATTAGTTTCAGATACTATCATACTATTACCCTAAAAATTTTCAAGGTGAAAATATTATGTTGTAATAACAATGGTTCCAAATGTTTCATTATATAAGACAGGAATTTTGTTACTGTGTTTGTCTTTCATTTTGTTGTTGTTATAATATACAAATAATTGTACAAGGACTTTTGAAAAGTTTTCAGGTCAGTCCCAAAGCCCTTCCAAAAAAAAAAAAAAAAAAAACATCTTAATGTTATAAACTATTTGAAATAGGTCTGACTAATAAGTTTTCAGCACCCCTCTTATATTTTATTCATATTTAACCATTTTCCAACTATGATCAGAGCATATATTTAAAAACGTATTTAAAAAAATAAAATACATTCTTTGTTAAGCCATTTTGATTTGGGGAGTGATCCTGTGTGAGAACTTTTCACTACCCCCTTGTTTTTATGCTCCATGTTTCTGTTTCACATATATGATCAGATCAACATCAAATTAATTTTATAGAAAAAAAAAATTTAACTTGGTTTCATTATTTTTCTTAAAGTCATCCAAATTGTTTGTTTTTTTTGTTTTTTTTCCAGATTATTAGATTCCAATAAAAAAAAAAGTTCAATATTACTATCTAAAAGGTAATTTTTTTTTTTATAATCTTTCTGTAAAATGACCAAAATAAGACCAGGAAATTCAATAAAAGAAAAAACAGAAGAAAAAGAAATTGTGAGAAATATAACAGCATAACTTACTTTTTCTCTTGGTGACATCATCTTTGCTTGATGGATTCTCTCCAATACTTTCTCTTGGCTCATATAGATAAAAACAAAAATGTTTGCATCTGCCCCAGTAGACAGTAGCACGTTATTATCATAGCTGACCACAAGGTTAGTCACATGACCATAATCAGAGTCATGGACACCAAGCTCCCAGTAAGGTCCCAGCTCCTTCAGAGAGTAGGGTGTTGGCAACTGATGTATGCGGATCTTACCATTGAGAAAACCAAGCAGCAATTGTGCTCCTTCATGGCTGCCAAAAAGGAAGCAGGTGTACATCAATAATTGAAAACGGAAGAGGAGGAAGAAATAAGTAAGGCATACAAAAGGTCTTTACTGATGAATTAATGAGGATTTTTCATTTATTATTACCAATTCAAATCAGAGACAAACCCAAGCAAGTGTAGCTTTTGTTAGTGCATGAATTAGTTACAACTAAAAAAGACCTCAAAATTGGCTCAGTCTCAAAAGATATCCAAAGGCTTCAGAAAAACACTCTGACAGTGGCTAGGTAAATGTTGTTCTCAAACGAAGCTATTTAACTCCAGCTCAGCAAATGGAATTTACACTGACCCTCAGTAACAGGTAAAAAATATTATTTTATTCAGAAATTTAGTTTTGATTTTATATGCTAAATGTTGAATGCAATATGTTTAAAAACATTTGAATCATGTTAAAACATATTAATGTCATAATTTTCTGCAATGAGAGTTTATTTGAGGGATTCAAAATAAAAATCATTATTGGAAATTACTTGAACATTATTTGAAACAGTTTTATACATATAAGGGGCTGCTGAAATGATCTCAGCCAAAGTCACATACCAAAAAACTGACAGATGATCAAGCATCAGATATTTTTAAAGTGTTTCTTTATTAGGCCAATAATTTTTCATTACTCTCCTTATGCACACACACACACACACACACATATATATATATATATATATATATATATGCACAGTGAGTGCTGGTAGTAATAATAAAACAGTGCTTGATGTGAAACAACAGAGCTAAAATTTATATTAAGAAGAATTATATTTCTATTCCTCACTACTCAATGCTACTTAAAATTTGATGCACATAGCAATTGTCAGGCAAAATTAAAACTGTCTGACTTAACAATTCTTTATTTAAAGGCTACTAGCAAAATAATGGAGTAATCCATTTTCATATTGGAGTGAAGTGGAGAAGCATTTTTCCCAAAAATATCCACTTTCTTCTGTACAATCTTGCAAACATGAATTCTCTGCACTGGGGTTCTGTGTGGGCTCAGAAATGCTTTCTGTTGAACAGGTTGCCACTTTCTTGTATCTAGATGTACATATTGTCCTTGTAATCCATTTCTTCTGTAGCCTGTTTCAACATTATGCTTAGAAATATAGAAAACATTTTAAGGGTCAGAAGACAGTCTTGCATGATGCGGTTTTTGATTGGGAACAGTTAGATGCAGTTTCAAGATTTGATTTGCAGAAGTTAGAACATAGTCAGAAACTTTAGAGGTTAACTTTAGTTTTCCATGATTATCTACAGGTTTGATTTGCTTACTATATTAAATGTTTTTGTCAGGTCAACAAAAGTGATAACCAGCTCTTTATTTTATGTGTCATTTTTCTTGAATTTGCCTTAGAGCAAATACCATGTTGGTCATACCCCAGTTTGCTCTGAAATTTGAGTTAATGCTTTAATAGTATTCTCACTAGGATATTAATGCTTTGTTTAATAGTATTCTCACTAGGATATTGCTTGCATTCAAAAGCAGAGGTGAATTGAGAAGTTCAACTTAGATCCTTTGTTTTTGAAAAGGTGTAGGATATCTGCATTCTTGAAGTTCTGGGATAGTTTAATCCTGATCCAAACACCTGACAAAAAATTCATGGATCTTTTTGTACAGAACGGAACTGTGGCATTTCCAAATCTCTGGATTGATTGATTTATTTGCTTTTTACAGCTTATCAACCTTTTGCAGGTTACTTAAAGCAAGAAAATGTTTTTAGATTGTATGAATTTTTTGAGATAATAATGATTTAGTGATACAAGTCTTACTAACTAACCAACAACTTGGTAGGGAAGAGGTGGAATCAGACCCTTCCCAAAGGTATTTGCACATAAGTGAATATAATGAACCTGACTGGAATTGGAACTCTGCTCTCCAATTTCCAATTCTGAGCCATTACAATACTGGCACATCCATATACAGCACCTGATATTCCCAAGCTGTCATCCATCTAGCTACTGACCAAGCTCAATATTGCTTAACTTCAGTGAACATACGAGAACCAGTGTTTCAACATGATATGGCCATAAAACCCCAAATCTCTGAATCTCTGCCATCAACACATACAGCCTTACCACATTTTTGCAGCTTAATTGATTCCTCAATTTCTTATGGGGCTAGCATCTCAGATAAATTTTGTTTGTTGGTTGTTGCTCCAATGTTGATTCGATTTTGTTGAAAGGAAATGCTTAAACCAGTGATTTATTTATCTTTGTCAGTAGTGAGTACAACAGAGTTGGTTTTAAGTCATGTAGTTGGAGCTATATACTACATTTAAGATTTGATAAAGAACCTTTTGTAAGTTGCCAATGTTGATAAAAATGCTGACTTCGTCTGTCACTTGTTTTGCATATTGCAAAGGTCACACTGAAAAGTGTGACATCTATGGTAGAAATCAATTTTCTTTCTTCGACATGATGGTTGAGTGAGGTGTAGTTGGTGTTTGGCTCTCTTTACTAGCCAGAGATTTGTTTTGTTACTTTTGTTAAAGCAGTTTTGATATTTTTTCTTGAGGAGAAACCCAGTAGTTGTTTAGAGGTCTCTTAGATGGTAGATTTCATATGTTCCCAGAAGGCATTAGATAAAGCTTTCTCCAGACATCTGATGGCCTCTACTCAAGATTCCAGCTTCTCTTCACTTCTTTCTTTCTTATTTTTTTTAATTTTTTTTTTATTTTAAAGGAGGTTAATCCTGATTGTCTTTTTTAGGGTGTTCCATTCACCTTGGATTAAGACTTGAAATGGAAACAGTTTATAACAGTTGAGGCAGATTGACATTCCACACAGAGCCTCATGCTGATTTGGTGGATATCTTTTAGGTCTGTAGTGATAGCAACAAATAAATTACTAAATAACCTCCAACCTTTATTGCTACACTATGTAATATTCTGGAACCAAAATAATAAATAGTTAATAATAAAAGTAAATTTTAAAAGTTAAGCAATAATAATACTTTAAAATACAAATAAGAATGGTAAAGTTAAATTATTAAAAAAAAATAGTTAAATAAATATAGAATACTCTCATGATGCAACAGAACAGGTGTTTTACCACCAAATGAAACAAAAACCAAAAATTTCTCTCTTCATTACTTAATGGCTAAAGAAGGCAGATATCCTGGACAGCTCTCCGATAAAACATGTAGCTACCAATAGAGAAGCAAAAGTTCTTCATTTCTGTATACATAGATGTTCTTTAAAATATACAATAATTTCTCTAAAATGCATACTCAAGCATTTTATCATTTTTGTCTGTGCTTATTTTGTTGTATTCCATATATGATTTTGTTTGTAATTTTATAATCTGGTTGTGATCTGATGATGCCCTTTTAACCCTCCAAAAATTCATATATATAAAAAACATTAGATTCAAACGAAACCAACACATCATCAGAACACCCATAACAGGTCCTTCCATTATACAAGAACATAGTCTAATATTTATACTGAGAGTGCATCCATGTTGTCTTTAGCATATCTTTCTGTTGGCAATACACAATTCTTATTTCAGGCAGAATTCAAGAAGGAACTGTCTGTTGTCATTTACCTTCCCCACTTTGTGCTTATCAGTGAAGTCTTTCTAGTTGCCATTGTTCCAGCCTATCTATACAAAATAGATTCAAGCATTGTGAAACCATTGATTCTATGGGTGGTAAATTTGAAAGAACAAAAATTGCCAAATTAAACCATAAAACTCTGAGATACAAAGATGCTAAAATAATAAATATTCCTCAGACTTTATTTTCAACACATTCCAAAATCATGACAATCATGATGAGTTATCTCCCTTGCCACTAGCAGGAGATGCTTGTATATGTAGACTATCATTTTTGAGCACTGAAAGTATTTGACAATCATGACGAGTTATTTACCTTGCTACCAGCAGGATATGCTTGTATATGATTATGCCATAAAATATATGAATAAGTATTTTCATTTTGGTTGTCTTGATCATCAAATTGTACTCATGAACATGTTTTGATCTTGTTAACTTTCTCTACCCCAAACATTTTAGACAATTTATACAACAAAGTTAATAAAATGTCATTCACTTTAAATATCCTCTTTTGTTTTTGAGTGGAGAACAAACATTTGCCACTCAGACTGGTGAATTGTTTTAAATAGTGAATGAAAATACAAATAATTATGAACATAGTAATCCTGTTCAAAGATATTTGAAGATTAACCCCTGCAAGACACACTTGAAGAAAGTTGGGGTAGAATATTGTTGTTAACTGTACTGACCCTTGTGGTCCTATTTAGGATTGAACTGAAACATCATTGGCTAACAAATTAAACTTCTACTTCTCAGCTTAATGGATGTTTTTTTAAACAGTAGCAGTATCTTATTTCCCTTCCTGCCAAAGTGGATTTAACCATCAATTGTTTCTGTTGTTTAGTGAAGTGCTGCCAGTCTGTTGATTGAGCAAGATCCTGTTTTAACAGTGGTCAAAGCAACAAAGATGAGGATATTAGTTAAAATAAATCACGGAATAATAATAATAAGAGAAGAAACTGGAAATTGGGCAAAGAGTCAGAAGAATCTAGACAATGTTATTATTGAAAATAGCTTATATACTGATAAGAATTGTTGTATCCTTAAAGAGGTTACAGACAGACAAAGGTGGTACTCGAGTGAAAGGAACAGCAACATGGGCGTAGATGAAAGAAAGAGAGGTTTATTGTAAAAGAGAATACACTACTGAAAGACAGGAAATCACTTAGCACATTAGTAATTCCCAAAGCAAGTCTCAGGTATATCCTGTGCACACTATATATATCTACTGATATAGTCAGTCCACAACAGGCGATAGGGGAAGTGGGAAATTCCATTACAACACTAATGTATTAAGAAGATTTGCTTTTGTAAAAACTCCAGTCTAAGCCACCCAGTACAATTGTTTTGAACACTCAATGAGTAAATAATAAACTTGCTGGATCTGTGGAAATTACATACGTGTTGACGGCTAAGATGATTATCTCATACGTCTACTCTTCTCTCACTATTTGCCGATTTCTTGTCTCCTTTATCCTTTCTAATTTTCATTGCCCAACAAGATTTTTATCTAAATGTTATATAGTTTCATATGCAAAAAAAAATTAATAAGGAAGGCACAAATATTTTATTCTGTATCCTCTCTTTTACCTTTCTTTTGCTCACTCTCTACATAAAGAATTATACTATCTTGCAATTTTTACACCTTTTTATCCTTACTTGTCTTTTAGCCTTTTGCTCACTGTTTACTTATAATCAACCAGCAAGATTCTCTTTGTCTTTCTTTCATCTCTTCCTCTACTCATAAGTATTTATTTTTTCCTTTCACCTAGTTTTCTTTCTATTTTTTTCTTACTATCTTACCTTCTGCCTTTCCTCCTTCGAACCCTCTTTTTCTCCCTCCTCCTCTCCATCGCTTTTTCCAATTATTTCTTGCTTAATATCCTGATGTAGGTTTCTTGATTAGAAAACATAACTGACTTTAGCTAAAAAGAGCTTGGGATTGAACAGACACTACACTCCAATCTTAAATAGAAAAAAGTAACAGTTATACCTAAAAACCAGCAGAATCATAATACATATTCTTCATCTCAAAATATTCAACACTATAAAGAAATCCAAAGAATTTAACAACCAAAATACTGTGATAAAAAAATCTATGAGGATAGTAATCTGAAATATGGAATAATGATCATGATAAACTACCACTTATTTGCTTGCCAGTTGCCTGGCCATAACCACTTGGGCATGACTCCTAGGGGCTGACGCACTATGCATCTCCTGTTCAGTAGCAGGAGTAAGGTAGGAACATCATGGCCAGGAGTTGAGAGGATTGTCTTTTTAAGTCTAAAGGATTTGGCAGCCAAGGGGACTTGGGAGTCATATTTAGATATTTAGGAACATTCTCAATCAAAGACTGTCTCAGTCGACTTCGTTAACTGACTTGAAGATATTTCTAACTGGATCTCACCTGCAAGTTGATGTACTGCCTTTATCAAAACCTTTCAACATATTGCATACATTTGGCTGTGATGCATGGATCTAGTATACCATTATCAGAATGGGCGTCATGATGGATACATTGGGTTTTGTATAATTGTAAACCAGTGACACACTCAATAATAATAATCTCACGCTCAATAGTAATAATCTTCCAAGATCAGAGAAATCAACCATTAAAATGTGATCAAAATAACAAGCATAAGGATACTGGTGTAAATATTTCATGGAATAATGATAACAATATTACTTCATGTCAAAAAATACTAGTACCAAATTATGTCAGTTAAAATGTGATTTAAATAATAATGCTGAAGATACTTGTGTAAATATTCCATCTATATCTATAATTCTCAAAATGTGTGTGTGTGTGTGTGATCGGATGTTGTTTATACATTTCCACAGTTTTCATCTGATTTCAATAAATATTTTTTTGTTTGATAGATAATTCTTCAGTGCCAGTTTTGAGTTCAAATTAGCTGAAAAAATTACAACATTGAAAGTGAAAAATTGAAAAAACTGTTTGTTTTTTACACTCAGTGCAAAAATCAAAGCCAAAATATAATGTCTAAAAAACAGCATACAATCAATTTAGAGAGTTGAAATCTAATGCAAAAGATTATTAGAATTATTAAAAAAAATGATATTATAAATGAAAATTATCATATATTATTATTATGATAATCCATGGAAGAGGTTCCTTCCTTGCAAGATTGAGAACACAAAAACAGCCTTTTCATGGCCGCCTTCCATTCAAATTGTTAACCCCCATTTGAAGATATGCCTCAATTGCACCCAATTGTTTTACTAATATTGATTTTTAAGCAGTTGACTTTAAACTTAAACTGCTCCAATTGAACAGCAAATATTCCCAGTAATGAAACACCCAGTCGAAGATGGGTTATACTGCTAGTATATTAATAATAATACTTTATTCTTCAACCTCTGCCTATATTTCTGAGTTGAGGTATTGTGACTATTTACACTATTTACATTGTTTAGACTGTTGTCCTCATCTTTGCTATCATATTCACG